GGGGATGGGTGAAAGTTTGGGTTAGCTCTTTTTTTTTTCAGTTTTTGGCTGGGGCTGGGTTTGAACCCACCACCTCCGGCACATGGGCCGGCACACTATCCCTTTGAGCTGCAGGCGCCACCCTGAGTTAGCTCTCTTTAGAGATGGTCCTCCAGGGGGTTCCATCCTGAGCCTGGGGTCTGTTACTACTTTGCTGCTGAAAGACTCCAAGGATTCCTCTATAGCTGAGCTCTTTAGGCTCCCACTTCCATGCAGCTTCCAAAACTGTGGAGACATCTTTTTAAAAGTACAAGCAGGCTGGGCGCAGTGGCTCACACCTATAATCCTAGCACTCCGGGAGGCCGAGGAGGGTGGATTGCCTGAGCTCACAGGTTCAAGATCAGCCTGAGCAAGAGTGAGACCTTATCTTGAAAAACAGCCAGGCACGGTAGTGGGCGCCTGTAGTCCCAGCTACTCAGGAGGCTGAGGCAAGAGAATTGCTTGAGCCCACGAGTTTGAGGTCGCTGAGAGCTATAATGCCACATGGCACTCTATACCAAGGGTGACAAAGTGCGACTCTGTCTCAAAAAATAAAAGTACAGCAGCTTAAGGGTAAAACTGCATTGTTTTGTCATGCAAATTCCTGAGGGTGACAGAAACAGTACCTTCTGTGCAGCTGATTTGGAGGTAAGACTCAACTCTAGCAAAGAATGACAATGGTCACAATGTGTCACGTCAGGCCTGAGGCATTTAAGAACCAGGGTCCCTACCCCTTACCTCCCTCTTTTCTATGAATACAGATTATGTGACTGGAACCCTAAGATGCGAACACCACGGATGCCCAGCAGCTGGGAGGAGAGCTGTCTGGGAGTTATCAAGCCTAGTTTGGATTTTGCATGATTGAGAAACCTTTCTTTGGGGGTTGATTTGTTACTATAGCTCATCCTATCACATTTCATACTTAGGGGACACACACACACAAAAAATTCATCTTTCTTGGTAAAAACAATGGAACAACAAAACCTCTAACCTTTCATGATATTGTCTGGACTAGGTACTTGGGAAGGTAATATGGAAAGAAACTATATGCTACTAAATGTTAGTAAACACTTTCTGTCTCAAAAAAAAAAGTTACTACTTTATTGTGTAATTTTTAAAAAATCATCAAAGTATAGAAGAAACATCTTTTTTTTTTTTTTTTGAGACAGAGCCTCAAGCTATCCCCTTGGATAGAGTGCTGTGGCATCACAGCTCATAGCAACCTCCAACTCCTGGGCTCAAGCGAGTCTCCTGCCTCCACCTCCCAAGTAGCTGGGACCACAGGCACCCACCACAATGCCTGGCCATTTTTTGGTTGCAGCCGTCATTGTTTTGGCGGGCCTGGGCTGGATTTGAACCCACCACCTTAGGTGTATGTGGCTGGCACCTTAGCCACTTGAGCGACAGGCACCGAGCCAGAAGAAACATCTTAAATGGCATTTTAGCATAGCCTATTCCCTTAAAGCTTATTTTGAGCTGAAGGAAACTACAAAGCACATATACTTTTGGTCAAGTGTATAGATAATTATTAAGTTTGTAACTAACATGCTATTGATACAAGAAAAAAAATTCTGCCCATATTGTTTAAGTATAAAGTTTCTCATCATACCAATTTGATTATTATATAGCTAATTCTGCATCTAGAATAATTCATGATCTCATAATGCTGTGGTCATCTTCCAAGCTCAATTTAAGAAAAACTTTTTACTAAAAGCTATGTTTGTATATATTCTGTGCCTCTGGAAAGGAAGCTCACGGGAATTAAACTTACAAAAATAGTCCTACTGATGAAGTTAGAAATTCATTGTCAATATGAAACATTAATCGATTTTGTTACAGTGGTGGTGTTATTTAATACTCAGGGTGCCTTGAACATAATCTTGAGTAAAGAATGAGCAGCGATCTGGAAACAGACCAGTTAGGTCTTCAGTCCACAGTAGTCATGCACTCCTGGAAAGATGTGCAAACTCCTCCAACAGAGCTGCAAGCACTGCAGGGGAAGGGAGGCATTCACAGAGCCTGCCACGTGTCAGTGACAGGCAGGGCTCACACTGAGCACTTAGACACAGATATGGGCTAAATGCAGAAATAGTAGCAAACCAGGTGGTAGGTGGCTGCTGCCTGGACTCTACTGACCAACTCTTCCCCATAACTCCTACCCATTCCTCAGGAACCCCGCACACACACAATGACCCTGCGATCGGGCCGGTCAAACCCATCTCCTCTGTAGTGTGGTATTTGTTTTGTTTCATCAGAGCCCAGGCCATAGAAATGCTTCTGAATCCCACTCTGCGCTTGATTCATGCAAGGCAGGTGCTAACAGAAACAGTATACAGGCTCGGTGCCTGTGGCTCAAGTGGCTAAGGCGCCAGCCACATACACCTAAGGTGGCGGGTTCGAATCCCCAGCCCGGGCCTGCCAAACAACGACGGCTGCAACCAAAAAATGGCCAGGCGTTGTGGCGGGTGCCTGTAGGCCCAGCTACTTGGGAGGCTGAGACAGGAGACTCGCTTGAGCCCAGGAGTTGGAGGTTGCTGTGAGCGTGATGCCATGGCACTCTACTCAGGGGGATAGCTTGAGGCTCCGTCTCAAAAAAAAAAAAAAAAAGGAACAGTATACAAATGCGGAGAAAAACGCCTCAGAGAGATACAGTATTAAGTAATAAAGCCATGAGGTAAAGCTAGATCTGACTTCCCAACTCACTCACTCTACTTGTCATCCTTCTTAGGAAGTTGATGAGGCTGGGCTAGGTGGCGCACACCTGTAATCTTAGCCCCTCTGGAAGGCCGAGGTAGGTGGATTGCCTGAGATTGTGGTTAGAGACCAGCCTGAGCTAGAGTGAGACCGCTGCCTCTAAGAATAGCTGGGTGTTGTGTCGGGCGCCTGTAGTCCCAGCTACTCGGAAGGCTGAAGACGAGAATCGCTCGAGCCCAAGAGTTTGAGGTTGCTGTGAGCTATGACAGCAAGGGCATTCTATCAAGGGTGACAACGTGAGAATCTGTCATCAAAAAAAAAAAAAAAAAACCCAGAAAAAGAAATGGATCCTAAGTTAGGGCTGGGCACAGTGGCTCATACCTGTAATCCTAGCACTCTGGGAGGCTGAGATGGGTGGATTGCCTGAGCTCACAGGTTTGAGACCAGCCTGAACCAGAGCAAGACTCTGTCTCTACTAAAAATAGAAAAAACTGGCCAGGCATTGTGGTGGGTGCCTATAGTCCCAGCTACTTGGGAGCCTGAGGACAGAGGATCACTTGAGCCCAGGAGTTTAGGTTGCTGGGAGCTATAACACCACAGCATTCTACCAAGTGGCAACAAGAGAATCTGTCTCAAAAAAAGAAAGACCAGGAGGCGGCACTTGTGGCTCACAGGTAGGGTGCTGGCCCCATATGCCAAGGGTGGCGGTTCGAACACAGCCCCAGCCAAACTGCAACAAAAGGAAACAAAGACTAGGAGAGACAAATTCAGTGGAGTTTCTCCAAAGTTTCAAGGATTCCTTTTGAAGAAGTTAACCTACTAGAGTAAGTTTTACAATTCGGTTTTGTTAGAGACCAACAGGTACCACTGATAAGACAGGAGCCATGATATACCTTCTGTGCTCATGACAGTGGGCCAAGGAGGAGATAGGTGAGCTGCTTTCTATAAACTAGGTAGTATGAATTAACTCTTTGATAGACGCGGTGTTTGACTTAAGAAGGGAAGGAAAAACAGATGTAAAAACAAGAAAAAGGCTTGTGACCCAATGTTCATTTTACCTAGAATGAATCTGGGCCATAGGTGTGCTGTGACAGTCATCAGTCAAGGCTCGGCTCAGCTCAGATGGCATTCCTGATCGAAGAATTCTTTAGATTTTCTCTTTTAAGGAGATAATCATGCTTGTAGCTATATGGCTCTGTGTCACCTCTGAAAAGTCATAAGGATTTAACTCACACCATGTTTATAATAAAGCAAGTTGTAAACATGTCCTCAAAACATAACAGAGCCAAAGACTGCCATGGTGACTTTGAAATTACTTAGCAATGGATACCAATTTCCCATGTGACAGTAAAATTATTCCATTTGGATCAGTTATGCATCTTGGATGTGCTGGGTTGCAGGCAAGTTATTTAAAATCTATACCATTTCTGGCAGTGCCCATAGCTCAATGGATAGGGCACTGCGGGTTTGAACCCAGTCCAAGCCAGCTAAAGCAACAATGACAACTGTAACAAAAACAACAACAAAATAGCTGAGTGTTGTGGCAGGCACCTGTAGTCCCAGATTCTTGAGAGGTTGAGGCAAGAGAATCACGTAAGCCCAAGAGGTGAAGGTTGCTGTGAGCTGCGATGTCACAGCACTCTACCTAGGGTGATGGCTTGAGACTCTGTCTCAAAAATAAATAAATAAAATCTGTAACATTTCTTTAGGAAAACTTCAGCAGACATGGGTCTAGAAGCTGATACATGTCCTATGCATCTTTGATTCTCAAATGATTTCCTAAACCCAGGTCAAGGAAGTGATTTCATTTTACGGCTTATTTTACCTCCTTTTCTGTGTTTTGACACTAGCAAAAGTGTCACTCATTCATTTGAAAATAACATAGTGAAGCAGTGGTCAAGGTCTATAGTTCTTATTCAACCTCACATTAAATTTAGATGTCTGCTTCATACCTCACCAACATTTTAAACAAAATTGGTCATCTTCTTTTAATTCAGGATTTTAAATAAAGTTACTTTATAAACATAGTACTTTATGATTCATAAAGATTAAAACCCCAATAACAAAATGGAAAAACTTATGGCCGGCACCTACAGCCCTCAATAATGTTAATATTTCATTACCATCTCAGTATGTTTTATAGAATTTCTACTTCAATCTACTGAGGAAAAAGTATAGACCTTAAGCCACTCCTGATAGAACCAAGTGTTACTTACCCAGGATTAGCGCTGATAATGGTTATTAGGCTTAACTTTAACAGCTTGAAAACACTTTATAAGAAGTCTCGGAGTATACTTAGAGAATTTATTCAGCTGATTCTTAAGTAAAAGAGCTAAGTTAGTCAATATCCTGAATCTTGAAAGCTCCCTTTGAATATAATTTTCATAGTCTTTACATTTTAACTGTCATTGTTTATTCTGTTTTGGCTACATTCTCTACAATTTCAGCAGCATCTTAAAGAGACAATGTATCTATGTACAATGAAAAACAAAATGGCTTGGAACATCAGAAATAAGACCCACAGTTTAACTGTACAAAATTAAGGATAATCTGTGGTAAGTATAGCCTCTATTTTCTGCAACATGGACAACTTACATGTAAGTAAGTATCAACATTATGAATGTGACAATAAAGAAAAAATTCTTACAGGAGTAAAATACAGCATCCTGAAAAATATCGGTTTCTACCATACAAGGCAGTTTAGAAAATGTTCACATTTTAACAAATCTGTACAAACCCCAAGAAACTTGTTTATGGGACCATCATCCCACCTTGCTGATAAGAACCTTCTAGAAATGTAGAATAACCATGAACAATTTATAAATCTAGTATCTATGTGCTCCACAGCCCTAGAACCCAAGAAACTGATTTAAAGAACTCATTATGTCCACTTTGGACCATTTTCACATGCCTTGATTGTTAATGAATGCCTGCTTTTAATATCTCTCTATAATGTAGTCAACTTGCACCTTCAAGGTCATTCAATTTTTTAGCAAAGAAGCAACATCATTTAGCAGCAATTAAGCGCCTTCAAGAAGACTTAAAAAAAATACAATATCCAATTAGAAAAGCCATATTTTTAAACATCTGTACAAGAATAAGCTGCTGAAACTTAGCAAATGAAATATATGACACCTGTACAACAATTTACAATAGCGCTAGAAGGGAATTTATCATTATCCTGCATAGAACTGGTCTGCATTTGGTTATATACTGTCACTTGTTTGGATGAACAAGGCCTGGTAAGAAAAGAAAAAAATCTGTTAACAATTCTAATGTGTTGAAAACACTGGTGATATTACAATTCAGTGAATTCAACTGATTTCAAAACAAGCAACTCACTTTGTCAAAGATGTAAAAGTATCTAGAAATAATAGCTCTTCCTTTAATATAACCAGTGAGAAAAATGGACACGTGATTTCGAGGTACAACTTGGTAAAAGCCAGAATAGGCAAATGACAAAGCCTAACTTTGTCCAGAGTCTAACTCTCACATTCTATTACTATAAAACACAACCGTCACTGTCATTCAGTTCTTACTTTGGTTTCAGCAGAGTAACTGCCAAATGCTGAAGAATGTATCCAGGCACTGTAGTTCTTGTGTTAGAAATATGTCTCATATTTTTTTCCACGTTTTTAAATAATGAAAAACTACCCTTCATATTAGAACTCTCTAGTAACAACCAAATGTATTTAAGTATTACAAACGGTATTTACAGTGTTCCCCCAAATAAACAAAAAATTTTTCCTCGAGCTTAACATGGTATTCTTGTTTCTGTGCAAGAGGCAGTCATCCTTCACCACTGAAGATTATAGTCAGAACTGTGCCTTTATTCATCATCCATGATCCACTTTCATACAAATGACACTACGAAGAACTTCAGTTCACAAACAGTTCTTAACCATGTCCTGTGTAAGGAAGGAAAACAAAACAACAAAACACTCAAATGCTCTCAAACTCAAGTGTGCATCTGGGAAGCAATTCAGAGATATCATGCCCATCTTGGAGGAAAGTCAGTAGGTAATTATGCTTGAAGAAGGGGGTGTTGGAGATGCTGTCAGCCCAGCCAGGTGTAAGTTCCCTGAAGAATTTGATCTTCTCATGTGTGGGAGAAGGTATGGGTCATTTGCCAATTGGTGCACATCAAACCGATCCTCTTTTCGGTATGCCAAACAGCGTCTGATAAAGGCCTTTTTAAAAAAGAAAGAAAAAGAAGTCAGCAATTAAAATGATCTTTTTCTCTTCTCAATAGCACTCAACTGAATCCTACAGAAGGATAAATACATTTAAGACAATAAACTGATATCATCTGATTAGAAGTCCAAACTTAAAAAAGTTTTTTCTGGCAATAAAATTTTCGCTTCAAATTGAACTCCCCATTCACGGGCCCTAGTCTACTTTATAGTCTAAATGTATTGGTACTCTTTGAACTTACTACTGGAAAGTTGTATTTCTGCTTACAAAATTCTGAGGATGTCTTTTTCTAACATTTTTCTTTTGCTCACAATCCTCCCATCATCCTATTTTGTTATCACTTCAGTTTGGCCAAAGGGTAAGATGTCATTTTTAGCCATAATATTTTTCCTCCATAGTTTAAAACACTTTTATTACAGGAAAAGAACACTGAAGTGACCTCTATTAGGGTTTTTGTTTCTTAGGTTAACCCTGTACATCATTACATTTTTGAAAAAGCTAAATGTATAACCACTTTTCCCCTCAAACTAGTTTTACATAGCCTTTCCTTGAGAATACCCTCTCAGAAAAACTCTTTAATGAGGAATAACTCAGAAAAGCACACAAATCATAAGTGCAAATACATCTATGTAACTGGGCAAAAGATCAGAAATAGAACCTCCTCAGCCCCTCACGCTCTCTTCCTGCACTGCCTCTGCCCCTAGCTGAACCTAGGTACCCTCTAGCCTGACTTCTAATAACCATGGTTTAGTTTTGCTTGTTCTGAATTTTATGTACATAGAATTACAGATTATATTCTCCTTTGGCTAGCTTTTTTTTTTTGAGACAGAGCCTCAAGCTGTCCCCCTGAGTAGAGTGCCATGGCATTACAGCTCACAGCAACCTCCAACTCCTGGGCTCAAGCGAGTCTCCTGCCTCAGCCTCCCAAGTAGCTGGGACCACAGGCGCCCGCCACAACGCCCGGCTATTTTTTGGTTGCAGCTGTCATTGTTGTTTTGGCGGGTCCGGGCTGGGGATTCGAACCCACCACCTTAGGTGTACATGGCTGGCGCCTTAGCCGGTTGAGCTATAGGCGCTGAGCCTTGGCTAGCTTTTTTTTTGAGACAGTCTCACTTTGTTACCCTTGGTAGAGTACCATGGCTTCACAGCTCACAGCAACGTCAAACTCTTGGGCTTAAGTCATTCTCTCGCTTCAGCCTCACAAGTAGCTGGGACTACAGGTGCCTGCCACAATACCCAGCTATTTTTAGAGATGGGGGTCTTGCTCTGGCTCAGGCTGGTCTCGAACCTGTGAGCTCAGGCAATCTGCCCACCTCGGCTTCCCAGAGTGCTAAGATCTTTGGCTAGCTTCTTTTGCTGAGTATTTTATTTGCGAGGTTCATCCATTTTTTTTCTGTTGCAGCAGGCAAAATATTCACAAGGGATAAATGATAACTGTCTCTTTTTCTTACTGCTGACATTAGAAGTAACATTAATTTGTCTTGAAATGCCTGATATAAAGTCATAAATTAAAGCATCTGTAACAAAAAAAAAAAACCCTACAACTAAGATACCCAGTCAAACAGAATTTGATCACATTAAAAAGTAACTATTTTGCACTTTCATTTTTTTTGAGACAGTGTCTTACTCTGTCACCCTGATGTCAGCCTAGCTCATAGCAACCTCAACTCTTGGGCTCAAGAGTCCTCTTGCCTCAGCCTCCCGAGTAGTTGGGACCACAGGCACCCCCTGCCCACGCAATGCCTGGCTAGTTTTTTCTATGTTTAGGAGAGATGATGTCTCACTCTTGCTCAGGCTGGTCTGGAACTCCCAGAGTGTTAGGATTGCAGACATGAGCCACCGCACCCAGCCTATTTTGTACTTTCTTTGCTTTGAAATTCATTAGAAGTAATTTTTTCTCCAAAAACATCTAGCTAGCCTCATCTTGTTACTGTAGTCTTTATCCAAAGTGTATCTGACCTCTTAGAGGTCTTCAATAAAAACTCCTACCAAAACAAAAAAACTCTTAGTTTAAGACCAGCCTGAGCAAGAGCTAGACCCTGAGTGGGTAATACACCTGTAGATCTAGCTACTCGGGAGACTGAGGCATGTGGATTGCTTGAGCCTCGAAGTTAGAGGCTGTGGTAGCTGTGATCACATCACTGCACTCTAGCCCAGGTGACATGGAGAGACCCTGGCTCAAAAAAACCCAAGAGTGGCTCGGCGCCTATAGCTCAACCGGCTAAGGCGCCAGCCACGTACACCTAAGGTGGTAGGTTCGAATCCCCAGCCCGGGCCGCCAAACAACAATGACGGCTGCAACCAAAAAATAGCCGGGCGTTGTGGCGGGCGCCTGTGGTCCCAGCTACTTGGGAGGCGGAG